TACCAAGCCAGGATCTCTTAATGATGTTGTTTTCATCTGTTCTTTAAAGACCATTTATGTACTACTTCTCCTTTCACTACATGACTACATCCAGTCACGAAGGAGATCATACGCGTGTGGCATCAGTTGTACTTAAATCACACTCCACCCTGCTATCCCTGTGCATTGCACTACGTAGTAGTTTTCTAGTTGAACACAATGAACATGAAGACCATGGATTTGAATGATCCTCTGTTCCATGTGCACCTTTGCTTGCCAGTTTACAAGAAGACCAAGAGCAAAGATATTGTTCAGTGGGCCAATCAGGGACAATGGCTTAAGGTAACAAGGGGAGACCCTACCTGACAGTTGAGATGCACCTGAGGAGATCCTGATGCAGAGCAGGAAATACTATATGTGTTTAATATTTTGTGCTTAATGTTTAAGCTCAAGTCAAAGGGATTTTTAAAAAAATCTCTGTTTAACAAAAAGATCTCTGCAAGGTTTGATAGAGATAATTTCCTTTTGTGCATAGACATCCAATTTGAAAGTAGTTTTCCATTGCAAATAACAACGAAAATAAAATACTTTAAAAAGTTCAGATCAAACAAAAGAAGTCCATCTTCTGAAATTTATATCCCATGGCAAAAACATAAAAATATTAAAATATATAAAACATACTGCAACATAGCATGACTTTTAATTTGTTTTCTGTGTAATTTCTGTGCAATATTACTGCCTTTAATTTGGTAATTTGGCACTGAAAAAATGTTCTGTTGGATAATTGCTCATAAAATGTGTTCTTAATCCTCCTTCATATCTTCATTAAAGTCCAAAACTATGAACTATCAGGCTTCACCATCTGCTTCATCAAGTTCTGTTTGTTCTGTGTAGCTGCCATTTTGGGTAGAATTTCATCTTTACAGTGTTCCCACAGTCCTGCGACTTAAATGTTCTGGAAGACCTGAATTTAAGTTCCAGTGTTTTATTAAATTAATGTAATTTTTGAAAGATGAATGCAGTCAGCCTTTGATACTTTATCTATGTGCTTTCTTAATCGTTTCTTACTTAAAAACAGGATTTTGTCTTGCAGGAAGTTTTACAATTGCTTCTGTGATTCAAACTTCTCTTTCTGTTCATTTGGTGTCACATTCCAGTGCCATCGTTCCCTTTCTGACAAGTGGTGCAGAGAATTTTTTTTTTTTTTTGTATCAACAGATACATAAAGATGATTTGTCTACATCTGTTCTGTTATCAGTTGTAGAGAGCTCGCTGTACAAAATCAGAGCGGTCAAAGCCTTAACAACTGAATTACCTATGGGAGATTTTCTAGAAAAGAGTATTTACCTATTCTGATATTTTTCTTCTCCTGGGGAGGTAAAAGTTCACTCTTATTAAGTCTGACATGCTAGCTTTACCAGAATAACCTGTTAATTTCTTGATTTGTAAATCCAGATTTGAATCCAGAAGACAATACAGCTTTTAAAAGTCTATCTTTTGGGGTTTATTTTATGACCAGTATATCTGGTCAGCCACTGTCCAAGACAATTACAGAGAAATGGTTGTCTTTGTGCACTTCTCATTGTTATTCACTGGCAGGATAGTCATCAGAGGGTCATATTAAAGTTCATTCAATCAAAGCTGTGGCAGTAGCAATAGTCCGCCTCAGGTCAGTTCCATCTCTTGAGATTTGTAGGGCACTACCTGAAGTTATCTGCGTAATTTTAATGTAGCATTAGTGCCTTGATACTTTGTAGCAAAGATTTCAAAGGTAACAAATCTCTATCTAGTGTCCTACCCCAATGACAATCCAATTATCTTTTCCCTTACTGTATTATTCTAACCGTTTGTATGTATCCTCTGGTATCTTTTAAATTCATTTTCACTTTGCTGTAATCTATATATAATGTGTATTGTTATCTTTATGTTGGTGGTTATAATTAGGTTTTGTATTTCTCTGTTCATGTGGTTATTTGTTTATGTACTTGTAATCATCATGGGAACCTCAGCCTTTTGAGATAATCTGTAAAAGTGTTCCCTTTTGCCAACATACATGTTTAAGTTGGGATGGGATAAATCACAGCTAAGAAGTATCTGCTTTTCTTCATTGAGAGTAAAGGGATCCTAGGTAACCCATATCTGTATCTAAATTGGTTATTTTGGATGAATCCCAGCTATGCCTTGACTGTTTTATGTATACATATACATAAATGTGCTTACATAAACATATATATGCACATATATGTGCACACAGACAGATAGATATATTAAGCCCAGAACAGTTCTATTACTTCCATTTCAGTATCATTTGCAGAGATTTTCTTGAGGCTATGGTACCAAAATAGTCTTAATTTGTAATGTATAAATAAATTTCATATGATGTACACTCTTGGATATTCTGAAGAAGAGTTACCTAAGAGATACTTTTCAGCTTTGAGGGGGAACAAAAGGCATGAAAACTTACAGCCATAGAGTATGTTCTGATTAGGAATACATTAAGTCTATATATTGATAATTATTCCTCAAAGCCAAGTTTCTAAACTTAAGCTGATGCTTTGATATCGTCTCAATTTGTATCTAAGGTTTGGTACTCGAGATGTAATTTCTGGGGTATTTCTATTTTGGTGATTCTAAAAAGATTGTGAAACATGTTAATTTCTCAAAAGGAGTGTTACCGTATTTACTAGAAATGGAAATGTATGTAACAGAAAGTGGTTCAAAAATTATAATTGTCTATATTCTAATGAGAATTATTAAAAAGATATAAATATGAGGTACCGCTCCATGGAGGAAAAACTCTGAGAAAATAAATAGGAAAGAAAAATAATAAATAAAAAAGCAAAATCAACAAGTATTGTTTAACATTAAATAAGAGGAATGAATTTGTAAATCAAAAGACTAAACCAGAGATTGTTTAAGAATGGGGAAAAGACATTTCAGCTTGATTTCAGAAAATTTTAAGCAGGGAAAATTTCAGAAAATTTTAAGCAGGGAAAATTCAGCCAATGTTCTCCAAAATGTGCAAGATAGATAAAAATGGAGGAGAAACAAACACTAGATAAACCTCTTGAAAACTTCAGACATGATTAGGTGGTAACAGGATTCTTTCAGAAAACAGAATAGTTTTTACTTTGTTGTGCAATACACTGAAGAGCTCTACCAAGATGTTCTGAAGTCAAAGAACTTAGTTGTGATGACAGACAGCATTAGAGATTTACTTCCTGTTAGTCCACACATAATTTGTCATTTTCAATTTTGAGACAAAACATACTAGATATGAGGCTGAGGAAACACTCTCTTGTATGGTTTAGTGATACATTCAAAGTACTTTTGGAGTAATTGCTGTTCTTTGTTCCAAACAATGCAAGTGACTTACATAGGTAGTAGAACTTAGTTGAGAAATTAGTCCTTTTTGAAAGTTAGATTTTGCCCAATTTTTCCTGAAGATAACAAAAGAAGAGAATTTTTAATTGCACCTTTTGATCAGAGTATTTTGATATAGTACCATAGTTTAAAAACACTTAGAAAAGATCTGGACTTTGCATGAGATCTTGCCTGTATTTGAAAGAATTTTTTTTCCCCACTTGATCTGTTTGTGGTGCTCCATACCCAGGAGTAATAGGTTTTTTCTTTCTTTTCCCCCTTTTCTCTCTTTGTTGAGCAAAGCTTACAAATTGCAGAACTCCTGAAGGCAGAACAGATCTGTTCACACATCTAGCTTAACCAAACAGTCTCTCACCTGCTGCAACACTTGTGGTTCTTAACTCCTTCTTTACCCAACTACATGAAAATTCTTTTAAGAACTGGTTCTCTGACTTCCATTTAACAGCCACAAACACAGTAAGTAGCCAAGCAAAACTGCAATGAAATTTTAGCTGTTTATTCCCATTCACATCTGACACGAGCAGAGTTTGGAAAGAAACTTAATTTAGTTTAGCCAGAGAAAAATTTAGTTGTGAAACATGCTGTACTTTATTATCTCATAGATTCTTCAGCATCATGTAAGGAATATATATTTCAAATCCCCCTTAGAGAGAAGCAGTATGATAAGAGTTGTCAGGTAAGTTTTAGATCTCTACTCCAAATTAATACAGTTTTTAAATTATCCACATAGGATTTTTTGTGGATCTTTCTTAGAAGGTGCTTTTCTGAGAGAAATAATTCTAATTCTATAGAAGCTCTCATTCTGCAATTTTAAATTATTAATATTATATTTGTTGATAATTTTGTAGTGCTACTTAGATTTGGGACTTGCAGTGCTTTTATAAATTTTAGGGATAGTGTGTGTTCATTTAGCTATCTGAGAAGATAGAGTGGGACCTGAGTGTTTATTTCCTTTAGATCATAAAGGAGTTCTGTGACTTTGAGTCTCCCCTGCTTTCCACATTTGTTCTGAATGTAATACCTTGGTGAACTGTCTTTTTCAGGGCAAGGTGTAAAATTTTGATTTGTCTTTAATTTCTAAGACTGATTAGGTACTGAAAATGGCAATATACATGAAAACTCAAAGCCTTTCTTTTTAGTCTTACTTTGAACAGTTAAAGTGGTACAAATTAATGGATTGTGTTTGCAAAGTGTGCTGTCTGTTTCTCTATCTCCATCACCACAGTTGCTACCTTAGATCTGTTCTGAAAGCTCTCAGTGGCTCAGACAAATACTTCTCCAGCAGTGACTCTGCTTTTTTTTTTTTTTTTTCTCACTCTAGCTTCTCTTTTTTGACTAGCCAATGTCTTATCCAGGTTTTGCATGTTTTATTGAGCTGAATTTTGGTTTTGAACACAGAATTGAGAGCAATTTACTGTGTTTTTTTCTAAAATAAGTTTTTCATTTTGCCTAATTTGTAAAGTTATTTTCCCCTTATCATATTTCCTTGAGTGACCATGTAGGAGAACTTGGTGCTATTTGAGTGTTAGAAATAAAATGAAAATGAAGAGCTATTTATATGGTTATTGATATAATATGTAAGATTTCTGAAAGCTGATGATAATCTGACATTTTGATTGTAATTTTTGTTTTTAAAGGGCACTATGAGGAGGTGTATGATAGCCAGCTTAACTTGGCCTACTACTGTTTCAATGACCCTGAGGACAAATGGTTAAGTAATTACTTCTATGAGCAATGCTTTAACACTGCTCAACTAATAAAAATTGATGGTGGAAAGAGAGAGGCACAAGCACATGCAAATATGGGCCTCATCAATGAGGAACAAGGTAAGTCACTGAGATCATAAAGCTATGTTGTATCAGCCCTGAGACAGTCGTATTTGGCAATTTGTGTTTCACTACCGGTCACAGTATTTCAACGTAAAATTGATTTTCAACCATAATTTAAAAGAAGTTTTAAAACTGTTGCAATTCTGATTTTTGGAGCAGGAAATAGGAAGACAAAGAAGGCTATAATTACTCACAGACATGTTTCCTCTGACATTTCGTCAACAGTTGAAAGTACTCCATCAGATGAAAAACAAAACACAAGTTTAAAGAAAGCATTTGTTTAACACAAAGATTCTTTGGGTTTGACCTTATATCCTTTTGCTTGTTTTTGGCAAGAGACTAGTAATGGTGCCTTAGGCCACAGGTGTTTGAGTAGGATGGCATCTGTAGTTACGTCTCTTAAATCAACCCACTTTGTGTATGAACACCTAATTCAGTTTAATCCTGACACCAATTTACACTTGGATAAAACAGCCTATACTTTCATGCTCTTTTTAAAAACTACCTCCTGTTTCTCTTGTCTGAAAATAACGCCCTGTTTGTTTGTACATGACTGCCACATGGGTGTTTGCTTCAGATTTATACCTTACCACAAGCTCTATTTCACCATTCATGTATCTATCCTCAAACCGTGAGCGTCTGAAATTAGAAAAGATACTAATAGAAATAACTGGAATCACAGAACAGCCCAGGCTGGAAGGGACATTGAAAGATCATCTGGTCCACCCTTCCATGGGGAAGGGAGCCTAGCGGAGATTATTTTAGCACTCTGTCCAGTCATGTCTTGAAAACCTCCAGCGATGGGGACTCTACCTCATCCCTGGGGAGGCTGTTCCAGTGAATGATTGTTCTCACTGTAAAAAATACTTAATATGAACTTTGTTTCTATATTTAAGAACATAAATTTCCTTTCATGGCAGAGGGGTTTGTGTGTATGTATATCAGTCTGGGTGTAAAAAAAGGTGTTTTCCTATGTTTGTATAAAATCATTTCACATTGTGACACAACAAGCAATAAGTGAGCCTCAAGTAACCGAATAAAACCTATCTTCCAGTTACAATTCCTAAGTGCACCAGATGCCTAACAGTTGCTTCAAATATATGTGATTTGTATAGTCATTACATTTTTCTTTTTAAGCCTGACTTTGTGGGTTGAAACAATTCCAACTTTGAGCTCAGCTTGTGGCTGGTTTCTCAAATAGAATGGCTTTTCTCAGAAAAAAGAAGATGCACAGAAATTGAAATATTTTGTGGAAATAGTGTAATTCCAGTAAATGTCTGACAGAATGGGTGTGTTTTGAAAGATAGCCTAATTTCCCAGCAAAAACCTGGACATAAAACATAAAACCAAACCTGCAGGCTCTTTTTTTTTTTTTTTTTTTTTTTCAATTTAAAGCTTATTGTCGTATTTTTTCCCCCATCTTCTCTTAAAGCAGAAACATCACACCTTTTTAAATATTTCCTCATATTTTTCTAGACTGCTGATCGTTCACATTGTTTTTGTCTGAACTGTTGCCATATCTTTCTTGCCAGCAACACCCAGAGCTGGATTCAGTTTTAAAATTAGAGTTCATACCAGTGATCAGTAAAATGGAAGAATTACTTTTCTTACAATCTATATTTTTATTTGTGTTTTCAGGTGACATCTACATTCCTTGTTTCAGCTTAAATTACATACTCGTTGTCAGCTCCTGACCTTCAGTAATCATTAAATTCTTTTGTGAAGAACTGTTAACTAGCTATTCTACTTCTCATTCTGGGATCACCAGTTAGTTCTGCCTAAATGGAGTTGCTTTCTTTTTGTACCGAATAGCATCCTGTGTTTTGTAGGTGGTTTCTAGAAATTGTCAAGATTGTTTTGAATCCTGAAGTTGTCCTTCAACATGCTTTCTCTTCTTCCTAGTCTGGTATCATTCGAACATTTTAAAAGCATTTTTCTATCCTGTAATTCAGATCCTTAATGAAAATACTAAGTGGTAAACTGGACCTACGACAAGCACCTGTGGAATCTCACTGAGTACCTTTTTCCATACTGACAGTGAACTACTGATAACGGATGTCTATGTAGAATCTGGCAACCAATTTGCACTCACCTTACTATAGTTGCAGGTGGACTCTGCTTCCCTAATGCTTTACAAGGAAGTTATATGACAGTGAGAAAGAATTTACTAACTTTTCTAACTGAAATAGAAGATTGGTTTGATGACACTTGCTCTTAATGTGTTGGCATTGGCTATATTTTCATGTTTTCTCTAAATGCTTGGGAATAATCTGTTTGACTATTTATTCTAGTGTTGTTCTAGGAATTTCATTTAAGCTAAATCCAGTTGCCCAGTAGATAAGATAGTACTTGCTTAAAACCCAGCCAGTCACAACCAAGTAATTTTTGTTTTGAGTGAAAAATGCTTAATTAGGTTATCTGTCTGATACTTTATAGACTAAAATGATTGAAGTTGCTGGACTTCTTGCAACCTTTTCACTTGGTCCTTCAGTTACTAAGAAATAGAATTAAAAGAAGATGTATGAAAGCAAACATCCCTATCTTATTTGTAGCTTCAAAGGCTTATACTGAGTGTGACTCATTAGTGTTATCCAACCACAGCTTAAAAAAAATTCAACATTTCCTACTTTTATGATGTGTTAAGCAAAAGTTGTTGAATCATTAAATATCTTTAAGCCCATTACAAAAGCACATAAGTTATGAAATACACTTTGAGATGCTCAGAGGAGGGGAAATTTAATTTTCCTGCTGTAAAATATTAGAAACTTCCAGAAGAGAGGCTTCTTATTAACATTGCTAAGGAGCGATAAAGCAAGGTGCGTTTTCACTGCCCAGGGTAAAGCTTCACTGAATATGTAGGGTCTGTCTTCTGCAAATATTTTCTTTCCTTGGAGAGAGGTGGAAAAATTAAGCAGCTGAGAGCCTAAGTGTAGGATTTGCTTTGAGGGACCACTGAGAAGAACACAGCAGATGTATTCCATGCACCTTTTATTTTCAGCAGGTGAAAAAGTAAATCACAAGTTCTGAATGCAGAAGTCGTGTAAGAGCAGATGTTGAGTTGTGGTTGTATAAAATTGCATAAGTATTAGTGGTGGTATAAGTAAAAATCTAAAGATGCTGTTTTTGATATTAGAAGAGAAAGATATAGCTTGTAAATTAAATGGTGGGTTTTTGTTCATTTATTTATTATACTGTAATCTAATTTGTTTGTGAACTGAATGTGTCAGATGCTCACTTCCTATGGGAATATATACATATATACAGGAATAGATACACATGTGTAGACATGTATGTGTGCTTTAATGTATACATAGAGGAAAATGTATGTGTATCTATATAAATATAGGGATGTGCGTGTAGGTATATGAATAATGACTAACATTTAAATGATCTTTTCATCTGATTCAAATCATCATGTCTGTATTAACTGCAGTGATTAATAGTACAACCAGGAAGATAAGACAATTTACAAGAATGAGAAGTTAGTCTTACAGACATTCATGTGTGTGTCCTTTTAGATGTAAATACCTTGTACCAGTTCTTTTCAGTTCTCTCACCCCATAGTGTATTTTTCACTTGCAAATGGAAGCTGTCTACATATGCTTAGGACTGATTGCTTGGGAGTATAAAGTTAAACATGTACTTGTAAAGATTGTTGTTTGCCTTGGAAGCAAATCAATAAATTTGCTAGGTAATATTTGTGTAATCAAATTTAAAGTTCTTTGACTTTCAGCCTGGTCCCTGTCCTAAAGGCTGGATATAGTCTGATGTTCATTAATCTTCAAAGCTAAATATTTGAGGTGTTGGCAGTGTAGACTTCTGTCATGATATTTGGATGCAGGCGATGAATGGCTGTCAGTACATAAGGGAAAGAAAGCAATAATAATTGAGTAGCTTGCTACAGACACAAATAGAACATTCTGCTTGAAGCAAACAAGATTTTAGTGGCACTTCCTTGCAGAATGAGATTTTAACCTCCTCTTTAAAAAACTCTGTAAAATAAGGTCTCTGTTTACAAATCAAAGGAGGTGCTACTCATTGATTATTGCAGGAGTGTTCAGGTTATAATCCTGTTCAATTAGCTGTACTCACCTCATAGTTTCTCTTTCCTCAGGGGGCTGATAATAAATTGTTTTATTACTTTGGCTACTAGTCTTTTTCTCAAATAGTTATTAAACATGCTGATGTGATTTTATACATGTTGAAAAAGCAATGTCATATTTTATTTTTTTGACTCACGTTAAATCCAGCATTACTTGTCATCCAAGTAAGCACAGGCTTTGACAGAATCTCAGTTAAGAAAAGTTAATTTTAAAAAACAAACAAATAAACAAAAAAAAAAAAAAGGAAAAAAAAAATTTATTCCAGTGCTTTGAAAGTGTTTTTAGAAGTAATATCAGTCATTATAAATGTGTGCATTTTTCTGAATATCAGAGAATAAGATGATTATCATAGTCTGTGATAGTTTTATTATATTAGTGTAAATTCTGCTAAAGTTAAATATGAACTTCAGGTTTACATTGTTGTATCTTGCAGAATAAACACAGTCTGAGTGTCCTGATAAACGTAATGGCTAGTGTTAGTTTGTATAGGTTCTTACACTTCCAGAGCTCATTATTACAATATTTGAGTGCTTTCTGGTTTGTATTCAATAGTTAACATCTATCATGCATGAAATGATGTAGACCTTAAATGTATGCATCCCCAAGTTTCAGATAACTGACATCAGTGACAAAAGCAGTCCATGGGAAACAAGGAATTTGTACTTGTAAGAGCCACTACCTTCAAATGGGTTATAACACAATTAGATATAATATATTTCCATATTATTCAAAAGCATAATAAAAACAGATACCTGAAAGTGTACTTCTAAAAGCAGCCATCAAGGCCATTGCAAGTAATACAGGTATTTGTATAGATGTGTGTATATAGATGTGTACGTATGTACATGTATATATACGTACACATCTATATACAGACATATGCATGAATATATA